AATGGATCCGGACAGTCCACGCGTACGGGAACGCATCTAGGCCGTCCGATCGTTGGTACACGGATTGCCAGCGTGGCACAAAGTCAACGTGCCTTGCCACGAGGCACGCTCCAGTTCGTCGGGGCTGCTGACTGGGTAGTCTTATGTGGTGCAATTTTTTAATTATGTTTTGACTCCCAATTTTTTATTTTTTTAAAAAAATACCATTAGAATCCAAATTTTTACCTATTTTTTTTAAAATTATTTTTAATTTTATTTTTTTTCTAATTTTATATTAAAAAAATTTATAAATTTAAAAATTATATTTTTATACATTTTTTAAACTTTAAAATTAATTTTAAATCAAATTCTGAATCCGGGTATTATATTTGAAATAGGTCTTTATATACTTTTTAACATCTTAAGAGTAATGCAACATAACTATGATGTCCCATTTTTGGAACTTACCTTCGACGAAGGCCCAAACAACCCATTAGAGAATGATAGATGCAACAATAGTGGCATTATTGACGATTGTGATCTTGTCGACGTGATTGGCATTAAGATGGCAAGCTTGAGTTGGTTGAGGAAGAAATGACTACGAGAAGCTGACATTATTCTTGTAAGGAAGGTATGGAGACAGAGTAGGAATATCATTGTTCCTACCATTAACTTTGGCATTCTCAAGGGCCCTTTTAAACTGAACCAATATTAGGAACACTGCTCCAAATAGAGATTACAAAAATAAAGAATTACTCTAATGAGAGCGTGAGAATTTAGAATTTAGGGTTTTAGAGTTAACATAGGTGGATAAGTTTTGTTTTTTTTATCTTGATTAGTTTTTTAATTTGACCGGTTTATGTTATAGCAATTAGAAAGTCCATATCAGATGCCACGTCTATTGTGAATGATGACCCACTCAAAATATGTTACGTGACCAATCTGGGTCCACTCTTGCATAAAAATTAGTATTCGGACAATCTCTCGATGTCGTTAATTAGATAGGAAAAGATAGGATTAAAGTTTAGAGATTCGTCATGTATTTTTAGGAGTAAAACAAACTCTTGAAAATTTCAATAAAATTTTTTTCAATTTTCTCAAGATTTTTGTATTTATCTTTTACAAAAATTCTTTTGTATGTTGTCCCAAAAAAAAAAGAGACTAATTTATACTTTAATAATAATTTTAATGTCTGAAAGCAGTATTAAATTCGATTCATTTAATATTTATTTAAATTATAAAGATTGAATTTTAATTTTTAAAATTAATGGACCCAGTAAAATTCAAGAAGCACTTTATAATTTGCCCTTAGTATTTGATACTATAACAATATCATTTTAATAATATTTATATATTATTTGTTAATTAGTATTTATATTAAGTTTTTGTATTTATTAATATAATCAATAAAATAAGGTTTAGTTTATCTTAATGTTTATATTAAAAGCATTATTAATATATATATCAATTGATAAATAATCTTTTATCTTGGTGTTTATAATAATTTATATAAAAATATTATTTTTAATATACTTTTATCGATTAGTATAATTAATACTTAAAAATATTATTAATATATTAATAAATAATTTATAACGATACAAAACTCTAATATTGTACAACCGTCGTGTATATACCGATATTGGAGTTCAGACTGTTACTTATTTTTTTTTTATCAATAATGTTTAATATTATAAGATTAGTGTCATATATATATAATGTTTACATTAAAAAATAATATATTAATATAAAATTTAAATATAAAGATATATGATTACAATAATGTATATGATAAACATATAATTAATTAAGTGAATATGGTGATGCCATCATCTCTTGTTGAGAAAATAGTATGAAAATCAAAGATGATTAGGCATTTAATTAGTATGAGAATTTTTAGTTTAGTCACAAGTATAATATGTTTTAAAGTTAATTAGGTGACAATTAACATAAGTGTGACCTCATATTAATTTCTTCATGCTTTTGGATCATAATTAATTAAATTATCTTCCAAAAATTAACATATATTTATTTTTCATAAAATTTTACTTTAACCCAAATAAAAATTATAATTAATTATCAAAAGTAATTATTATTTAGGTGTTTAAATGTAATTAGATTATCTTAATTTTTTATTAAACTATTTTTTTGAAATAAAAAAAGTTTAAAAAATACTGATTTTTCATTTTTTTTAAATTAAAAATCAAACATATATATATATTAATTAGCAAAAATAAATTTCTGATAGATAGAAATTAAGCACAAGAATGAGTAATTCAATATCACCTTCTTCCTATTACTTAATCTTATTTATTAAGTCTCTAATCATAATCATCTCCTTAATCCAACCATCCCTCTGTATCATCCCTTCCGGCGGCGGCTACTGGCAGCTGTTACAAAGCAGCGTAGTGTATCCGCCATGCACATGCAACTCCTCAAAACGACCGTGTTATCTTCTTCGATCGACAGATTTCGCCAATCTAATTTACTA